TTGTCGCCGCGTTTTGCCTGCTCGGGGGGCTGGCTTCGGGCCCCCACAGGAGGAGGAGGAAAAGAAGGAGGAGGAGGAGGAGGAGGAGGAGGGGGAGGAGGAGGAGGAGGAGGGGAGAGGAGGAGGAGGAGGAGGAGGAGGAGGACCAGCGTAAACCCAAGAGTCATCAACGATGTTGGAATCAACCCTCCCTTCAAGCTCCCTCTTCATAGGCCCCCACAACGGCTCATTTCCATTGAAGAAACAGCCCTTTGGAAGACAACCGTTTGAAGATCCTGAAGCATGCCAAAACATTCTTCTCGGGATTCCAACGCCACGGATCAACCTGACCGCTGCGTCTTAGCAATCCTGACTCGTGCCAGAACACCATTCCTGAAACTTCAACACAGCGAATCGACATCACTGTTGCATCCCCATAATCCTGAATCCTTTCAAAACGCCAGTTCTGACACGTTGATGGTGGGAACCCGCCAAACTTTTAAAATTAGAAAAGAATGTGCGTCGCGCTAAGGCGAGAGCCACATTTTGAAATCCACCCGCCCTCAATACGTGAAACTCTTACAAATGTTGAAAACGAATGTGCGCCGCGCTAAGGCGAGAACCACATTTTGAAAACCACCCGCCCTCAGTCCGTGAAGCTCTTGCAAACGTTTAAAGCGAATGGGCGCCGCGCTAAGGCGAGAACCACATTTTGAAAAGGAGCCTCCCTCAATCCGCGAAGCTCTTGCCAATGTTTAAAACGAATGTGCGCCGCGCTCAAGCGAGAGCCACATTTTGAAAACGGCCCGCCCTCCATCTGCGAAGCTGTTGCCAATATTCAAGCTTCAGAATCATAAATGGTGAGGAAGTATCAGGCGAAAAGCCCGGCCCGCCCTAAAAACTGGCCTCGGGGTGCGACAGGGAGAATCATTTATCAGGAAAAGGAATGGAGGAGGAGGAGGAGGAGGAGGAGGAGGGGGAGGAGGAGGAGGAGGAGGAGGAGGAGGAGGAGGAGGAGGAGGAGGAGGAGGAGGAGGAGCAGGTGGAGAGAGGAGGAGAAGGAGAATGAGGAACAATAACTGCTCGGGGTGAAAAGCTGTCCAGAGGACCAGGTGGGGCTCCGAGGGTGCCCAGGCCTCCGGCGTCTGGGGACAGAAGCCAGACGGAACGCTTGCGCCGTCTTGGCGACGAGAAGCCGTGCTCGGGGGGCCCGAAACGATGCGGTGACAGACTGCGCGGTGACCTGGGAATCCCCAACGACCTCGCCCCACAGTCCGTCACAGCACGGTTGCAACCGAATCATCCTCGGACGACCCGAGTCCCAAAATTGGGCACCCCGAGTCCCGACCCACCTCATGGTGTGGTCACCGCACCGTTTCGGTGCCTTCGAAATGTCTGGGCCCAGGGTTAGGTCGAGCATGTCCTCCTACAGGCGGATCTTGGACGAAAAATGAAACATAGTCAACAAAAAGACTCGAAAATGGTCAAGCATGAAAATCGCCGACAATGGTCAAGCATGAAAATAACCCAGAAATCGTCCCCAACCTATGTTTGGACCATTTTTGTGTGCGTGTGCGTGCGTGCGTGCGTGCGTGCGTGCGTGCGTGCGTGCGTGCGTGCGTACGCACGCGGGGTGGACCGCTGGGCGACCAGGCGGCTGCTGGAATCGGGGGCCCTCGCGCCGGACGCGGCTGGGGCCTTGCGCGCAGTGTTGTCGGGGAACATCGTTACGGAGTCGGTGGCGGCGAAGTGGGGCAAGCCGGCCAGGTGCCCGCACTGCGGCGCCGCCTGCGAGGACCGCGAGCACCGCTTCTGGGCCTGCCCGGCTTAGTGCGCCGACAGGGCCGCCGCCCTGGCGACAGCAAGGATTTCGCAGGCCGCGCTGCGTGCGCGGTTGCCGCCCGGCGTCGCGAACACGGGGGTGCTGCAGACGGACGTCAGGCTCGCCGCCCTTGCCGAGGAGGCCGCCAGAGCCCTGCCGCCAGCGCCGCTCCCGGCAGCCCAGATGCCCGCGCCGCCCGAGCCGCGCAGGCGGGCTTGGACCGACGGAGCGTGCGAGCGACCACAGGACCCGCTGATGGCCCGGGCGGCCTGGGGACTGCTGCTGGAGGGGCCCCACGGCACGAGCGACCACAGTGGGCCGGTGGGCGCGGCGCAGACTGCACAGCCGGCTGAGCTGACCGCCGCCGTCCAAGCCGTCAGCTTGGCGGGGGCGCCCGTGGAGGTCATGACGGACTCCCGCTTCGTCCGCAATGGCGTGGCCTCCCTGCGTGCCGGCGCATGCTACCTCGACTGGGCGCATTCCGATTCATGGGAGCGCATTGCGGAGCACAGCCGGAGCGGGTTCCTCACGGCGCGATGGGTCAAGGGCCACACGACCGCCGAGGAAGCGCTCGCCCGGGGGCTGTCCGCGGAGGACAGCGCGGGCAACGCGGCTGCTGGCCGGCTGGCAGGCGCAGCGGCCAAAGCCCGGCTCCCCCCGCCACCGCTCTGCCTGGAACGCGACTTCCAGCTGACGGCGCTGGCCGCAGCACAGCGGGTGCTCGCTGCGGTTGAACTGGCGGCCTTGCGAGCCAACCACGAGAGCCGCGGGCCCGAGGGGCCGCGCGTGCGCCGCCGCTGGGCCGCCGCGCAAGTGCCCCGCGCCGCCAGGAGTGCTCGGCACCCGCCAGCGGCGCCGGCGGCGCCAGCTCCCCAGCCGCCGCGCCGGCGTACCCGGGCAGCGATTGAGGCCGGCGGGGCCGTCGCGCCTCCTGCGCCAGCCGAGGCTGCGCGCGCCCTCTTCGCAGGCGCCGCATGGCAGGCGCACGCAGCGGCGCAGGGCCCGGGCTGGGTGGCGTGCCTGCGCTGCGGCGTTTCGGCGGCGCGGTGGGCGCAGCTGTCGGCGAGGCCGTGCCCGGGGTGGGCGCCGGCGCTGCCCCCGCGGGCGGCCGTGTTGCTGCTGACGCCGGCGGTGCGCGCCGGCGGTGGCACGGAGGCCTGGCGCGCCGCCCTGGAAGCGCGCCTGCGGGCCCGGCCGGGGCCGCCAGACTAATTCGGTGCACCGCGCCTTCCTTCCCCCCCCCCTCCCCCCCCTCAGCCGCGGGGCGCCTGTTCGCATGGTAAAAAAGTGCGTGCGTGCGTGCGTGTATGTGTATGTGTATGTGTATGTGTATGTGTATGTGTATGTGTATGTGTATGTGTATGTGTATGTGTGTGTGTGTGTGCGTGCGCGTGCGCGTGCGCGTGCGCGTGCGAGTGCGAGTGCGAGTGCGAGTGCGAGTGCAAGTGCGAGTGCGTGCGTGCGCGTGTGCGTGTGCGTGTGCGTGTGTGTGCGTGTGTGTGAATGTGTGTATGTGTGTGTGCGTGCGTTTGCGTGCGCGCGCGGGTCTTCGCCCGCTGCCTCCTCCCCCGCCTGCCCCGCCCCTGGGCGGTTGCTTCTCCTGCCCCCACCGCTTGCCTGGTCCTCTGATCGGGTCTTCGCTTGGGGTCCATGGGGCGCCCTGCTGGCCACCCGCGGCCACGGCCCCCTCCGCCCCTCTTCGCTTGGTATTCAGGCCTGCCCATCTGGCGCGCCCGCCCCACCCCCTGCGCCCCCAGCTCCTCGTCTGAGGTTGTCCACGCTGGCTGCCCTTGGAGGCCGCGTGGATCTCGGCACCTCGGTCGCCTTGCTGCGCTGCCCCGCCTCTGGCCTGCGCTGGACCTGCCCCCCCCCCCCCCGTGCCTGTGCCCAGCCGCCCGCTTGCTGCCGCCCCCCAGCTGCTGCCTCGCCGCCGCTGCTGGCCCCCCGCCCCGGCGCATGCCCCGCCGCGGCCTGGCCTTGCTCTGAGCAGGCCCGGCTTCCTCTCCCTCCCGCCCGCGCCGGGCATCCTCTCTTCCCGCGCGCCCTGCGGTTTTATGCGCTTTTTGCGTGACCCACCAATGCCGCGTCTCCGGGGCAGCCCCTCTGCCCAGCCGCCGGCGCAAAATGCGCGCGCGCGCATGTTGGGGGCGGGTGGGCGGGGGGCAGGGTCGAGTGGCACGCGCTATGGGATCCTGATGAATTTGGTCTTGGCGTGGTCAGAAGTCAGGGTGTTCGACCCCGCGCGGATGTCAACCTAGCTAACAAGCGCAAGCCTCACCGCCACTTCGTCAGGGACCTGCGGGACTGGGAAATGATCGAGTTCATGGGGGGGGGCCCAGGGACATTGCCACTCCTCTGTTCGTCGCCAAGAACATTATAAACTACATCTGGCATGGGATGCTCGTCTCACAAACTTCCGTTTCCGCGGACCCCATCAAAACAGGCGGGGGCAGCCGCCGCGCCCCAGAAGCGCGCCGTCGGAGGCGGAGCCCCCTGGCGCAGGCGATCTGCCAGGGCGCCTTTTCGCCGGCACTGCTGATGCCGCAGATTAATTCTATGATTTGGAAATTACGCTGGTGGCGCGCGATAACTAAATGTATGCCGCCATTCCGCTGCAGCGTCTGAGGGGGGGGAATGTGTGGGCCCGTCGTCGAAGGCAGCTCGGGGGGGTCGCATCTGGTCGAGGCCAACTGCGCTCCCGACGGGGTGGAGTTGGGTTTTTCATTCCGCTCAAGAGATTGACGAACGCCAGATCCGCCTGACTTTTGGCATCGGCAGCCCAGCTTTTGCGAGGGAATCGCTCCCCGCCATCTGACGAGCACGTCGCTTTCCACCCCGTGCCGCGGCGACCTCACCGCGACTGTCACCCGCGCGGGTTGCGTCCAGGAAGGTAGAGGGCGCGCGAGAGATTGAAGACTGCGGGTTTCATTGTCCATGAGGAGACGGCAACGCGGATGCATTACGCGAGATTCTGGGGACACGCATCGATGGGGAAAGGCGCGATCGAATATCGGCCCGAAAAGCGAGAACGACTTCGGCGGGCGTGCTCGCGGTTGTCGAGGAGGCCAGGAGTCTCTGGCGACGGGGCGCAAGAACTCCTCGGGCATATCGTCGATTCTTTGTGATCAGGAGGCAGTTGTCAGGCGCGCTCCGGGCCCCTCGCGACCCCGCCAGTGTTTGGGGTCCAAGAGGGGTCGGCTGTGGCCCGCTCCCGCGCGAGAGGCGAGGTCGCGCGCGGCCCCCGCTGCGGCCTCGTCGCCCTACTCGAGAAGGACGCGGTGCAAATGCGTCGCCGCCTCCGACGCTGGCAAGACGGGCGTCGCTGCGCGCGCGCCCGCCTCGTCGATTGAAGACGCGACCGCCGCGCGCAGCATTCACGGGAAAAGGGGGCGTCGCACGGGGGCCCATCGGGCCCGCGCTCGCGCCGCCCCTCCTCGATCCTATTCGCGACCCACGTAGCGTCGAGCCCCTGGGCGGGCCGCAGATTTGGCGGGGCTGGAGGGCAGTCCTGAATTTCTGGAAGTTCCACGCCACGCGCTGCAGAAAAAGATATGAGAACACACGTTCGCTGCGCGCGCGCAAGATCCCGGGGGCACGCGGGGCCCTGGAGGCCCGGCGCGCGGCGGCAGCCGCGAGGCCAAGATTGCGCGCAGCAGGAAACAATGGCGCTTTTCACATGCACCTGGGGGCAGCGCGGGGGCCACTCTGGCCGTGGCGAAGGGGGGGGGCTCAAGTTTCGGGGCCCCGGTCTGCCGTGGGAAGACGATGCGTCTAGCTATTCAGAATGTCTTCTGGCATCGCTGGACCAATTCCGCAGACTTCGGCCCGGGGGCGCGGGGGCCTCGGCCCTGGTCTTCCTCGCGCGCAGGCGCCAAAGTGGCCCGCGGGCACCTGCCGAGGCCAGCGCGCGCGGCCCGCTAGGCGCCTGGCCCGCGGGCCAGGAAGCGGCCGTCCCCAGCCAGTCGCGCGCGCTCTTTCGGGGCCCCGAGAGCCCCCGAGCAGTCGAGGGGCAGGAGGATCGCGAGCAGGACCTCCCAGGAGGAGGAGGAGGAGGAGGAGGAGGAGGAGGAGGAGGAGGAGGAGGAGGAGGAGGAGGAGGAGCTCCTGAAGGACAACTCGGGCCGCCTCGACCCGGGGGCTTTTCCTCAAGGCCAGCGCGCCAGAGCAGGAGGCGGCATAGGACATCGCGAGGGCGCGCGCCGACATCGTGGAGTTTGCCGAGGGGAAGGGCCACGGCTTCAACTCGCGACGCGGTCGGCGCGCTGTTCGCGTCCTCCGCGAACTGGGGCTGCGACCGTGGCGCGAACTGCAGCAAAGCTCAACGGCCGTTTGACAGTTTTCTGTTTTTCCATTCAGGAGAATTCCCACGTCGGGCTAATGGGCGAATCCGCCTTCCTCGACAGCCTGGGCGCGATGTGGCTCGGGGTCGCCCTGGAGCAGCTCAAGAGGGGCAATCCGCTGGCCCCGCCTGTCTCCGCCCGCCCGCGCGCCGTCGTCGGCCACTTCCAGGCCCAACAGGAGACGAAGATCCAGGGCTGCCTCTTCGAGATGCACCAGCTTCGCCACGGAGGCCTTGGCCGCGACGTGCCGCGCAACATGCGCACCTCCCTCGACGCTGGTCACCGCGGCAGGTGGGCCCGCAAACGCAACGATGGCCCAGAGGCACGCGGCGCGCGTTCGCGTCCTGCAGGAGGAGCAGTGCGGGACGGCGGCCCAGAAGACGGATGCCCCATTTGCCGCACGGATCTTGAAGGGCGATGCCCAGAGCCCTTCAAACCAGAAGAACTTTCGCGCGGCCTCAAGTAAGCGCGTGCGCTCGAGCCCTTCAGCGGCATTGGCATGCTCAGCAAGGCCTTCTGTCGCTGAGCGCCCATATGCGAGGGCTGGGACATCCTGCGCTGCCCTGGCAACGGCTTCAGCCGAACCAGAGGTCTCCGCAGGATTGAGGCGCACCCAGAGCGTCTCGAGGAGTTCTTTGGGCAGTATAGCTGTGATTCGGTATGTTGTGCAACTCGTGGTATCGTGCTCGCGGGCGCTGGCCGCCTCCATCGCGGGATGATGCAACAAGTCTTATGGGTGTACCCAATCTTCTTACATAGGATGCTGAGAAATGGTAGCTGTAGGAAGCAAGCCCCTGTTCAACACAACCTATAGTATGACTTATGACCGTGGCGTCGGAGGTGGGATTGACGAATGGTGGTGCTAGAGAACCCTAATTCGATTCAGCAGAATATGGCTGGTTCCCGAACTTGTTCGGCAGCATAAGTGCTTGGGAGGTAAATCGCGCACGCAGTTTTACGCTAGCATGGCAAACCATGGATGAATTCAGTAGCTTTTCTGGTTTTCAACACTGGGACGCAGCGCATTCCGAAAACATGTCCGCCCTCGACACAGATCTGATCTTGGAAGAGGTCCGAGGAAGTGTTCGGCCCGAGCTGCGCCCTACCCACATGAGCTCTGTAACATTCCAGTCGTCCAGCGTACCTCTTCCAACACGTGAAGGGTTTTTGTTTTACATCTATATAACATATATGTATACATATGTACTTTTTATACATACAAGCATCGGGTACCAGGTCATGCTGCCTATGTGTATGGGCGTATGTGCCTGTTCCCTCGTCTCTGGCAGCCTGTCGCCCGTCGAACTTGCTCGTGGCGAACGGTGGCGTGCGCCTCTGCGACATCCGCATCAGGACAACCCTCACCAGGGGGCTCTTGGCAAACTTTGCCCTGGCGCGGGGAGGGGAGCAGCAGCGACCATGCCCAGTACTAGACCTTCACGCTGTGTACTGCGACAATGGAACACCAGACATCTGCTCTATAGTTCTTTAGGCTCCGACCTGTCAACCCCCGTCACCACCTTTTCTTTCTTATAAAAAAGAGGAACAACTCGCCCTGCCCATCATTGAACCAGTGCCCGCCTCCTCGTCTCTGGCCGCCTGTCGCCCCTCGAACCTGCTGTGACAGCGAACGGCGGCGTGCGCCTCTGTGACATCCAAACCAGGACGAGGCCGATCAGGAGGCTCTGGGCATTTATCTTGCGCGGGGAGGGGGGCAGCAGCGATCATGATGATAGTGGTGATAATGCTGAAGATAATGATGGTGATGGAGATGCTGCTGCTGCTGCTGATGATGATGATGATTATGATAATAGTGGTGATGATGGTGGTGGTGTTGATGATAATGCGGATGACGATGTTTTTGATGCTGATGATGATGATGATGATGCTGGTGGTGTTGATGATGGTGATGGCGATGGTGATGATGATGATGGTGGTGTTGATGATGGTGATGGCGATGGTGATGATGCTGATGATGCTGATGCTGGTGCTGATGTTGATGATGGTGGGGGTGATGATGATGTTGATGATGCTGGTGAGGCCGGTGATGATGGCGACGATGATGTTGATGATTATGCTATTGCTAATGGTGATTATGATTCGTATGATGATGGCGATGATGATGGCGGTCATGATGATGATTATGTTGTTGCTGTTGTTGTTGAAGCTGATGTTGATGCTGATGATGCTGATGATAACGGTGATGATAATGATGATGATGATGGTGATGGTGTTGATGATGCCGGTGTTGATGATGACGACGACGATGATTATGATGAGATTGATGATGCTGATGATGTTGATGATGAGTACGCTGATGATGATGTTGCTGATGATGCTGATGACGATGATGATGCTGCTGCTGATGATGATGGTGATGATGATGATGATGCTGATGATGATGCTGATGATGATGCTGATGATGATGATGATGATGATGATGATGATGATGATGCTGATGATGATGATGATGATGATGATGATGATGATGATGATGATGATGGCGATGCGATGATGTCGGTGGTGATGATGATCAGAAGGAAGGGGGATGGAGGATGGAGGACGGAGGGGGGCAGGAGGAGGCGGTGGAGCAGGAGGAGGAGGAGGAGGACGAGGAGGAGGACGTGGAGGGCAGGAGGAGGAGGAAGACGTGGAGGTGCGGGAAGAGCGCGAGGAGCAGAATGAGGAGGACGACCATGAGTCCCCCTAGCGTCCTCCCTTATTGGAGTGAGGCGACACGATCGTCAAGGAAGGGGGTCGTCACGGGAGTTGACCCCGTCTGGCCGCACCCCGAACAAGGACGGTTCGCGCTGCTACGTGGCGGTCAGGCACGTCTTGGACGTGGGCATCTGGACGCACCCAGAGGAGTTCGAAGAACAACACAGCAATCGTTCCTCCATGTTCTTCCTCGCGATCATCCTTCTAACCTTCTGCACCCTCCGTCCTCCTCTATCCTCGCTCATTTGTTTCTGCCATCCTCCTTGTTCGACCTCCATCTTCTTCCTCTCCCCTCCTGCATCCTTCTTCTCTTGCTTCTCCCTCCTCCTCCCCCTCCCCCTCCTCCTCCCCGCTCGCTGCGGAGCCGTTCCTCCTGTCCCTCCTCCTCCTCCTCCTCCTCCCCCTCCTCCTCCTCTTCCTCCCCCTCCTCCTCCTCCCCCTCCTCCTCCACTCCCCCCCAATTCCTCATCTTCTTCTTCCTTTTCCTCCTCCTCCACCTCCTCATCCTCCTCGTCCTCCTCCTCCTCCCTCCTCACACACTCTTCGTCTTCATCCTACTCTTCGTCCACCCTCGTTCCTGTTCATCCTCCTCCATCCACCCCCACTTCCTTCTCCCCTCCGATTCGTCCTCCTCCCGCACTTCCTCCTCTTCCTCCTCCTCCTCTTCCCGCCTTCCTCTATAAGGGGATCGTTGGTGCATGTAGGATCCATGGGGATCGGGAATAGATGTAGGATTTGTAAACTAGGAGGACCGAGGATCGAGGATCCAGGATGATCGATGGACACCGAGGACGGGTCGAGGATCTAGGATTGAGGATGGGTTGGGGACGGTTGCTTAGACGTGGGCCCCTGGACGCACCCGGAGAAGTTTGAATAAAACCGTCGTCGTCGAACGTCGTCGTCGCCATGATCGTTGTTATCATGGTCGTCGAGGACGTCGTTGTCATCTCGTCGTCGTCGTCGTCGTCGTCGTCGTCGTCGCTGCCGCCGCCGTCGTCGTCGCCGTCGGTGTTGTCGTCGTCGAGGTCGTCACCGTCGTCGTCGTCGTCGTCGTCGTCGTCGTCGTCGTCGTCGTCGTCGTCGTCGTCGTCGATGCTCGATCGTTTTCTGCTCGAGACTCGCCGAAGGTTCTCGCAGGTCTTCTGGGTCTGTCGACGGTCTTCGGATGAACTCGACGGTGGTTCCAGATGCTCCCGAAGGACCTCCGACAGTTTATGTGCACGGTGTTCCCAGGCACTCGACGTCGTGATGTCTTCCAAACGTGGGCCCCATTCGTCCCGACCCCCGACCTTTCTTCGGGACCAGCTTCCCCTGGCGGCCACGGGGCCTTGCAAGGGCCCCCAGGCAGAGAGGCAATCGCCAGACGCTGTCCGTCCTTGCGTTTTCCGCCAGGGTCTGAGGTATCTCTTGCCCAGACATCTGGCGCCCTGAAAAACTATAAGCGGCTGGCTCGTAGGCACTCTTGGCTCTTGGCTTCCGAAGGCCGTTGTCGGGCCTCGGGTCCGTCAAACAGCGGTTCGGGCTGACAAGGCCAGCCGTGGGGAGGGGGGTCCGGGAGGCCAGGGGCCCACGCGTCGAAGAGGTCGAAGCGACAGATGTCTGGGGGTCCTCCTAGGGTTAAGTCGGGCCTGTCCCCCTGCAGGAGGAATATTGAATATTCAGAAATTGTATAAAAAACAGTCTGGGGACGATCGATCAGCTATGTTCGACTACTTTTGAGTATTCTTTGACTATTCTTTCTTATTCGTCCAAAATCCGCCTGTAGGGGGACAGGCCCGACCTAAGTCTGGGTGTTCTGCTAGGGGTACCCGGACCTTGCCACCGACTGCACCTTGCCGGGAGTGGCTTTTTTATCCTGAGCGGGTTTGTAAGGTTCTCGGGCCTGGCAAGGAACCCCAGAGGCCGAACCGTGCAAACATCGGGGTGCTGTGGTGCCAAAGTCGCTGGAGGGTTGCCTTTTGCGGCTCTCCCTTATCCTCGTCCATCGTCAGAGCCATCCCAACCCCGACCAGGACACGGTGAGGTGGCTATCCCAGCGTAATCCTTGCCCCCCGTAGGTGGGCTTGGACGCTGCGAAGCCTGGGCAGGCCGGCCATCCCCGGGGCCCAGGCGTCTCCGGCGGGGGCGGGGAACACCAGGACGTCCTCCCGCTCCTGCTTGCCAGTCCGCTGCCCCAGGGCTCCCGGCCAGTCCGCTCTTGCTTGCCAGCCCGCTGCCAGTCCGCGGCCCCTCCCCCAGGGGCAATCCGTCCTGGGTCCCGAGCCACTCCGTCGATGGCTCAGGGGCCCGCGAGCGGCCTCCGGAGGCCGAGATGGAGAGGAGGGGCGCCGCGGCGGCAAGAGCCGTGTCGCCAGAGGTCTGGGACTGCTTCTCTCGCCTGGCCTCCCCAGACATGCGGCGTCTCGATTTGCTTCCAGGCGCGGTGCCTGGGGTGCCCCGACCCTTTCCGCGGGACCAGCTTCTCCTCCCGGGTCGTCTTCCGACGGCCCCCAGGCCTGGCGAGGGCCCCCCGAGGCCGAAGGCAGCCCAGAACCTCCCGTCGGGACGGACTCTTCCACGACCCTCCAGGAGTACCCCGAGCTCGCCACCGACTGCACCTTCGCCGAGGCCCAGGAGCACCTGCACCTGCGCCGGCAGCACGGGTGTGGCAGGCCCTGCCCCCAGAGGACCGCGCGCCTCTCGCGCGAGGGGCGGCCCGGGCCGCAGGGGGCCACCGTGGGGTGCGCCGCTTTCGGGGGCGGCAGCTCGGCGAGGGAAGCGCTGCAGCTCGGCGGCGAGCGAGGGGGCGGAAGTGAGAAGGGGCGGGCCTTCTCCCCAGACCGCCTCGCGCTGTGAAAAAAACACGACGGGAGGCCGGGGGCCCTCGCTGGGCCTCGGGACCGTCAAATAACGATTCAGGATGAAAAACTGGTCCAGGGGAAGGGGTCCTGACCTTGAGGGGTCGACGGTGTCAAAAAATCACGCTTTGAGGACGCCGCTGTCGGGCCGGAGGGCTTCACTCCGCGGCGAGCGAGGGGGGGAGGTGGGAAGGAGAAGGCCTTCTCGGAAAGCGGCGGGACTTCTCAGAAGCCCTCGGGGAAGGCTTAGAAAACTTCTCAGAAGGCCGGGCGTCCTCCGAACCTTCTGAGAAGGCCTTCTCCTTCCACTTCCCCCCCTCCCTCGCCGCCGATTCACGCTCGCGTAGAGCGCCAGGCTTTGTCGAATCTGGTTAGTTTGCTTCGGGATCCGGGTCCGAGCGCACCCCCTGCAGACGTCCGGGGAGGAGCAATGTCGGTGCCCTTCGGTCTCCCCCACCCGAGGACTTCTTGGATCGGCGCTGGGCTCCCCTGCCGTGTGCTCGGAGGCGCCAGGGAGGGTGGTCCAGCGCCGATGCGAGAAATCCACGAGGAGCTCCGAAGGTTTGGGCTTTGTACTGTTTCTCTTTCTCTGCTAATTCTAAGTCGGGCCTGTCCCTCTACGGGAGGACTAGTCAAGAATAGTCAACGGGGGCGAATTTTGGATTATGTTTGAGCATTTTGGGTTATTTTTGACTATTTCTAATTTTCCCCCGAGGGAACGCCCACCCAGGCAAGAGGTCGACCGAGGCGATCTGGTCTGGCATTCGAGTGTGCCGGTGCAGTCCGCAGTCGGTTCCGCGACTCGATGTGTGTTTGAGCCTTTTTTTGTTGTACCCTCTCCCGCCCCCCCCCTACCGTTAAGTCGGGCTTCCCTCTACAGGAGGAATGTTCAAACATAGTCAAAATATAATCTGGGGGCGATTCTTCTACTACTTCTAAATTTTTGGGGGGAATTTGTTGGGGCATTAAAAAAATGAATCGTCCAAAATCCGCCTGCAGGGGGACAGGTCCGACTTAACCCTACCGTAACGCTCCCCCCCATCAGTGCGCCCCCAGCACTGGCGCCGTGCGTTCATGCACCACAGTCTCGCAGCAAGGTGCGGTCGCAGCCCGTGCGTTTCCTCGCAGGCTACCCAGACCTCCTCGCGTAGTTTTTTCGCTACTTTCGGCCTCCCGGGGCCCTCACCGGGCCTCGGGACCGTCAAATAACGATTCAGAATGAAAAAACTGTCCTGGGGAAGGGGTCCAGACCTCTGGGGGTCGACGCTGTGAAAAAATCACGACGTGGGGGGTCTGGGTATTGTGGCGCTCGCAGGCTACTTGCTCCTGTGGCGCTTGTGCGCTGCTGTGGCGCGGTGCTCGCAGACATGCTTCGGATGCTTCGGTTCTCGCAGGCATGCCTGGCGCTCGCAGGGTATTGTGGTTCTCGCAGGTTGTTCTGGCATTCATATGTCGCACCCTTCACCGGCCATTGTGGTCCCAAATGGGTCCAGCATCTTGTCGTGCATGCGCGTGATGCCCGCAGGCTCTTGCGCCACTCGGCGGTCGCGGGCAAGTAGCGGTGCTCTCAGGCATTTGCGATGCGCGTAGGAGAAGGATCAAGAGGAGGAGAATGACGTCGACGAGGACGAGGAAGGAGGAGGGAGGTAAGGAGCACACCGCTTTAATGCCACGTGGAGGCAGCGACGCCTTCGTAGGCATGTGCTCGCCAGATCTCCTCTTCGCCCTCGTCACCCTCGTCGTTTTTCGCCGTCGTCGTCGTCGTCGTCGTTGTCGCTCGGTGTCGCTCGCAGTCGCTCGATCGTCGTTGTCGAACGCCTTCGAAGGCCTTCGCGGCCTCCAGAGGCCTTCGGAGGATCTCTGGAGGGTTTCTGCCTGGGAGGGCTCTGGAGACCTCCGCACACCTGTGGATGCCTCCAGGCGTCGCTCGTCGTAGTCGCTGGTCGACGCCGTCGTCGTCGTCGTCGTCGTCGTCGTCGTCGTCGTCGTCGTCGTCGTCCTCGTCCTCGTCCTCGTCGTCGTCGTCCTCGTCCTCGTCCTCGTCCTCATCCTCATCCTCGTCCTCGTCCTCGTCCTCGTCTTCGTCCTCGTCCTCGTCCTCGTCGCTCGTGGCTCGTCGTTCGTCGCTGTCGTCGTCGCCATCGTCGCCGTCATCTTCGTTGTCGCTCGCCGTCGCTTGCCGTCGCTCGTCGTCGTCGAACGCCTTCGAAGGCCTTCGATGGCCTCCAGAAGTGCTCGGAGGACTTCCGGTGGTTTTCTCCGAGGCCTCCAGGGGCCTTTGGTAGGAGGCCTCCAGAGGGTATCGGAGACCTCCAGAGACATCTGCGATGCATCTGGGCGTCGCTTCTCGTCGTCGTCGTTGTCGTCGCTTGTCCTCGTCGTCGTGGTCGCTCTTCGTCTTAGTCGTCCTCGTCCGCGTCCTTGTCCTCGTCCTCGTCCTCGTCGTCCTCGTTCTCGTCGCTTGTCGCTCGTTGTCGCCGTCGTGCATGTGGCACGGCGGGGGGGAGGGCGTTACGTTACACCCCACTGCGCCCCCCCATAGCGCCCGTTACCGACGCGAATATACAAACGCGCTCTTCTGCGGGGAACTTCCGTTTCTGTTTGGACGTCGAGTTGCGATCCCGCCGCCCGGGTCCACACGGCATGCGGCCTCATGCGCGCATGGAGTGCCTTCGGAAGCTTTCACTGGCGTTTTGCTAAAGGGTGTTTTGTCGTTTTGTCAATCCTTGAAAATGGGGTCGGGGTGTCGCGAGGCATCGCCAGTGCATCGGCGAAGCGTCGCGAGCTGGCTGGAGCCCGACCTTCTCCGCCAGTTCTGCCCATCCCCCCCCTGCGCTCCCCGAAAGCTGGAGGCCTTCCTAATCGGGCTGGCACAATTGGAGTCGTAACAATCGCACCGCCTGGCCGATGCCCTGGCGACGCATCGGCGGCGACGTCGTGATTTTTGTTCACATTGTCGACCCCACCGTGACTTCGGATCCGCCAAACGTTGGCTGATCTTCGGATGTAAACGTGCGTCGACGGTGCGAAAAAGCGGGCCAGAAACTTCCGCCTCGGAAGAGTAGGAAGGATTTTTTTGCAAAGGTACGACGGAAACATTGACGGCAAAGCAGGGTGGAAATCGACGTCAAAGGAGCTTGAACAGTAGGGCGGACATTTCCGCCCTACTTGCAAAATCGCCCAGAGCACCGCGGATCGGAAGTCAGGGGAGGCGGGAAGGGAGGCGGGGGGGGAGCGCGCACACGGGGCCGCTCTGTGCCCCGTGCCCTGCCGAGGACGACGGCCGGCGGCAGACGCCTGCGCGGCCGCCGCGTCAGGAAGAGCCCCAAGGACATGACCGAGAGGGAGATGGCGCCGGGGGGGGGGGACGAACACAGATGGCGCCCTCCAGCCTCCGAGGACGGAGGAAGGCACCAGCTCGTTCCCTCCGGCGATCGCAAGCATGGATCGAGGAGGGCGTGGACTAGCGACGGGCCCCGCTTCCAGGGGAAGTCGCGGATCTCCGCCGCCGAACGGGGCGGCACCGGCCGCATCTTGGCGAGGGCACCTCTCCCAATCCATGGATTTGGCGGCCGCGCGCCAGATCCATGGATCGCCAATCGATGTTTGCGCGCTCCCGACTCTCGGCGGGAGGTGGCGGAAGGGCGGCGGAAGCAGGGCGAGGCGGGGATGAAGGTCCTCGCCCCTGCGTCCGAGGGCCCTGCCGTGGGCCGTCCTTGTCTCTTGATGTTCTGATTCGCTCGGTTCGTCGAGTGCGGCCTGAGTGCCCACTAGAGGGTGGAGCTTCAGCTGCTCCTCTCGAAGAAGGAAACACCACATAAACATAAGCTTCTGGCGCTCCGCGAGGATTTCTTGGATCTGCGCCTGGGCCCTCCGGCGGCGCCTCCGGCGCCGCCCCTGGCGCGCTCCGCGCGCCAGGGAGGGGGGTCCAGCGCGAATCCAAGAAATCCGCGCGGAGCGCCAAAACTTGATGCTTATGTGGTTTGTCCTTCTGCTGTCCTCACAGAGCCACCTCAACAGGGGGCAGGAGTGCGTGCGGGGCGGGGCCGGGGCAACTTCGTGGACCTTGCCTCTCCACGCACCCTCGCTGCAGGGCGTCCGATCTGGTTTTGCGGTTGCGCCCGGCATCGGTACACATTGTTCATTTCTAATTCTTCGAAAGTCATGAACAATTTTTGGGGGGCAAGGTCCTTTCATTTCTAATTGTTCTATCCTGGGCCTCTTCCTGGCCACTAGGGGGCCAGAAACAATTAGAAACGAGCACAAGTAGAAATGAGCACGATTAGAAACGAACGTAGGCACCGAAGCCCGCCACGAAACTTCCAGTGACCGATTCGGGAGCAGTACTGGGGAGATCGAGGAAGCAGAACGAGGGCGGATCCGCCGGCGGAAGGCTGGTGGAAGCAAGGGATGTCCTTCCAGATTGCACTTCTCTTGGTTCAGGGTTGCCGGTGCCCGCCAGTTGGTGCCGAATTGTCCTTGTCGATTTCGGCCCCCGGGGGGCCCGTTTCGGTCCGGCCCCCGGGGCGGTCGAAAGTCATTTGCTGGTGGGGGAGCTGGCCAGCATCGACCCCAGGAGAGGTCCAGGGACCCGTTTTGAGCGGATTTCGGCGTCCAGATCAGACGGGAGCATCATTCTAGAAGCCTCGTTGGAAATAACTTGACACGCCGTTCGAAATCGAAGCGCTCGATAGTTCGGACGCTTGTCAGAAAATGCGTTGTTCAATGCTGTGTGGGCACAGCCGGATTTCGGACACCCCTGCGTCTGGGCCAACCATTTCATGCCAGCATTGAAGTAGTGCCGATCACACAAGCACCGAAAACGATAACCAGCAGTGTATGTTGCACGAGTCCTGTAATACCGTTGCCCCTCCTCGTTTTCGCCTTTTCGGGCCTCCGGGGGGATGCCCTCGTCACCACGGCTGGCTTCGCTTCGGAGTCCCGGTCACAACACCCCCAGGATAGATCCAGGGAGGGGCGGTCTCAGCACCCCCCCCAGAGCCCCGACGTCGTGCTTTTTTCACCGACGTCGACCCCCAGACGTCTGGACCCCTTCCCCGGGACCGGTTTTTCATCCCGAGTCGTTTCTTGACGGCCCCGAGGCTGGGTAAGGGCCCACGGGGGCCAGAGATTGAGAGAAGCCTCCCAGCGTGATTTTTTCTCAACGTGAGGGGGTTTATGGGTCTGGTTCCCCCAGGTCGAGTTCCTGAACCACGAGTGGGACGGCTACGTCGACGCCGACGAGTACGTGGACGCCGCCGTCGCGGGCAGCAGCCTGGGCAGTCAACGGAGGGGGCCCCCAAGCGGTGTGGTGACCACACCGTGTGGTGAACCTTTCGCGCGGAAGGTGCCGCCGCGAGCGGCCGTGGCAGCGCGGCACCTGCCGCGCGGAAGGTGCGGAAGGTGCAGGTTGATGGGTCACCGCAGGGTTTCGGAACTCGGGTCGTATTCCGAGGATGCCTCGGGCGACGGGGGCCTCCAGGGTCCCAACACCTTCTGGTGACGGGGCGTGCGGTGAGGTCTTCTAGTATTTCGAGGCACTCACCTGGTATGTCGCCACACCGGCTTGGGACCCCCGAAAGGAGGGGGGGGGGGGGCGGGGGGGGTAATTGTCGACCGCGCCCTCGAGCCGCACCGTCCGCGCCCTCCGCGCAGGCAGGTGCAGCGCAGTGAACCCCTTAGGATCACTAGGAATTCCCGGGGATTCCCGTGGGTTCCTTGGAACCCCACGGATGTTCTGGGATCCCTGCGCCGTCGCGGTCGCGGCGGCGGCCGCCGCCGAGGCCGCAGCAGCGGTCGCAGCGGCCGCAGTCGCGCGGAGGGTGCGGAAGGTGCAGCTCACATGATGGGCCTGTTTTCCACCACCACCACCACCACCATGAGCTGGAGGGGGAGGGGGTCCTCCTCCTCCTCCACCGCCTCCTCCTCCTCCTCCTCCTCCTCCTCCTCCTCCTCCTCCTCCTCCTCCTCCTCCTCCTCCTCCTCCTCCTCCTCCTCCTCCTCCCCTCCAACTGGTGGTGGTGGTGGTGGTGGTGGTGGTGGTGGGAAGCAGGCCCGTCATCAAAGGATCGCCCATGCATCGCCGATCGGGGCTCGGGCCCCCAGCCGTGCCCGGCCAGGAGCGTGCCACTGCGCCGACCTCTGCTGGCCACGGCTCTCGCCGATCCCAGGGCCGATCTCTCGCCGCCCTCCCAGCGCAAGTCGGGGCTGTCCCTCTACAGGAAGAATGTTCAAACATAGTTAAACATAGTCTGGGGATGATTATATATGTCTATATATACACATATATTATATAGATTTGGCCATTTGGGGGCATGTTATAACCATTTTTAATGTTTCGTCCAATACCCCCCTGTAGGAGGACAGGCCCGACTTAATCCCAGCGAAGCAGCACTCCCTTTCTGCTGAGGTCCGACCTCGAGAGCAAAAACACTTAGCGGGAATTCTTGTGCTTCCAGCGACGCCCACCCGAGAACGCATTGGCGTCACCCCAACATACTAATACTATGTGTGCGTCGCCCCCCCCCTGGGGGCGACGCGCGTACCGAGAAATCCTATAGTACATGCGTCGTGGCGGGCGCCTTCTGGCCACACCGCCCGGGAAACGATATACTACAATATGGGTCTACTATATGTTCGGGTCGGACGCGCGCCTCCAAGGAGGACATGTAGCACTAGTCTATCCCCGTGCGTCCCAACGCCAGCCGGGATCCCCAGGGAGCATGGGGCTCGCCGGCCGCGGTGTGCAGTCGTCGGTCGAAGGCGCGAGGCGGGACACCCAGGGAGCACCAGCACGCCCGGTGCCTGGTGGATGGAGGGGACAGGGTGTGCTGGGCGGGGCGGGAGCTTTTTCCTCGAAACCGAAGTCGGGCGTGTCCCTCTACAGACGGAGTGTTCAAAGTAGTCAAAAAATAGTATGTGGACGATGTTCTTTGTTTTGCTTGCCTCTTTTTGAATATCTGTTGATTATTTTTGACGGTTCGTCCAAAATCACCTTGTAGAGGGACACGCACGACTTACTCTTGCACCTGGCAATCGAAGAAGAAAAAAACACATAAACACAAACTTTTGGCGCTCCGCGCGGATTTCTTGGATCTTCGCCTGGCCCCCCCCCCCCCGGCGGCGGCTCCGGCGGCCCTGGCGCGCCCCGCGCGCCAGGCAGGGGGGCCCAGCGCGGATTCAAGAAATCCGCGCGAAGCGCCAACAGTTTATGCTTATGTGGTTTCTTCTTCTTATTATTTCTCTTATTATTCTTCTTCTTCTTCTTCTAGACAACTCGAAACGCCACACATTTATGTTTATGTGGCTTCCTCTTCTTCTAACTCAGACTGCTGGGCGGGGAGTCATGACCAGAGGCCCCAGCCCCACGCAGCTCTGCGGTTACGATGTTCCAGCCTACTTGTAGCCTTGATCGCCAGAAAGGCCTTTCTCGAGCACCAAGGGAGTACCGAAACGGGAGGGTTTTCACGTGTCGGGCCCTGGGCGGCGATACTCGTTCGACACCGTTTCGACCTTTGTCTGGGTGTTCGAAATGATTTCTGAGATGCGCTGCATAAGTACGACGGGAACAAGATAACTCCGCGGCATTCTTCAGGCCGCGGCGATCCGCGAGGGTCCCGCGGGGGGGAGGGGGATAGGGAGGGGGACGGGTGGGGGGGGGAGGGAGGGGGGAGGGGGAAGAGGGAGGGTGGGGGGGGGAAAAGGGGAGGGGGAGGGGAAGGGGGAATGGAGAAGAGAGGAGTAGAGAGGAGGGAGGCGGAGGAGAAGATGAAGAAAAGGAGGAGAGGAGTAGGCGGAGGAGGGAGGAGGGAAGAAAAGGAGGGAGGAGGAGAAGGAAGGAGGAGGAGGAGGAGGGAGGGAGGACAGTAGGAGGCAGGTTGGAGCCTAGACATGAGGAGGAGAGGAGGAGAGAGGAAGGAGGAGGGAGAGGAGGAGGAGGGCCCGAGGCCATACGAACGCCCCCTGTGCGAACGCAGGTCCGCGACGCCCGGGTCTCGCGATTGCGCCCTGCTTTCCAACCCACCCTTAAGTCGGGCCTGTCCTTCTACAGGAGGAATATTCGAAAATAGTCAAACATAGTGTGGGGACGATTATTCTAAAATATGTATAGATAGATATGCATATACACATATATATATATATATATATATATATATATATATGTACAGATATACATATGGATTGCTATCTGGGGGTATTTTGTTTTTGATAATTATTCAAGTTTTTCGCCCGCAACCCGCCTGTAGGGGGGGGGGCATGCCCGACCTAAACCCACCCCTGCAGGGGCGACCAAACCCTGAGATCCTGACGTCGCAGTCTTCTCACACCGCGCGTGTTCGCTTGGTGCCGAGGCCCAGGACCATCACAGGTCATTCTGGCACGCCTGGCAAGCCGACCCTTTCGGCGGCCCCATCGCCCCGCTCCGAGGCGTGGGCAGGCGGCCAGGGAGCCTCCAGGGCGCGGAGGGCCGTCACGGAAGGAACTCGTCACGCACAAGACACCCTTCGAGTCGTGAAGAAAGCACGACGGCAGGTTTTGCGCTATTTTCGTTATCTGGGGCCCCTTATCAATCCTCGGGATGAAATGCTGGTCCCGGGGAGTGGGTCCAGACCGCCGGGGGTCCACGTCATGAAAAAAACGCGACCTTGGGGGTCTGGGCGCAATGGGTCGTTGAGGCCGCGCCAGACCCTCCACCAGGAGGAGGAGGAGGAGGAGGAGGAGGAGGAGGAGGAGGAGGAGGAGGAGGAGGACGAGGAGGGGGAGGGGGAGGGGGAAGAGGAGAAGGATGGGGACGCGGAGGGGGAGGGGGAGGAGGAGGAGGAGGAGAGGAGGATTCCGTAGCCATTTTGGCTCAAGTCCGTAGCGTTTCGCTCAGGGACCGAGGCCTTTTTGGCGTGGGGGAGGCGCGCCCCTGCCAGTGATCCTGCGATCTCTTTTTCATTCGTTTGCTCACAGCCTACAGTCTGGCTACTGTAAGTTCTGCGGCTGTCAGGTCCCATGGGGCGCAATGGCGGAGGCAGGCAGCAGGCGTTCAGTGCGACCTGGACCTGCTGCAACAAGAAGTGCGGCTTCGGCAACAATTTCCCATGGCGTACGACGTGCTGGGCTTGTGGCAAGCCCAAAGGAGCGGTCCCTGCACCGGCTGTGCCGCGCCCTCCTGCTGGCGCTTGGGTTCGTCCTCCTCGGCTGCAGCCACAAGGAGGCTCACCTGGTGCTGGGCAAGGGCCTGGCGCAAGCGGCGGCAAGCTCACCCCTGAGCGCAAAGACGCATTGCTTGCCATGTCCGCCGAGCACTTCGAGGCCTGCAGCATCTGGCTGTCGCCTGGTCAGAAGGCGCACCTGCTGGGGCTGCGAGCCGTGCAGACAGGCGACCCGCTGGCCCTCAGTCGACAGGCCAAGCAGCAGCACGACACGCTCAAAGATCAGGTCGCCAAGGCCAAGAACGCCTGGGAGAAGTCTCAGGAGGTGCTGGCCAAGCAGCTGCAGAAGACGGCGGAGCTCAAGGCGAAGTTCATGGAGCTTGAGGCCAAGGAGCTCGAGGCGGCCCGCGCTGCGGCCAGCGCCTTCTCCGAGCTCGGGCGTGCCTCCAGGCCTCAGCCTGCTGACCATGCTGCATACCTTGTGGAGCAGCTGCGTGAGCTGGGGGTCGAGGCGGGCGTGGTCGACTCGATCAAGCAGGTCGCGGAGGCACGCCAGAAGGCCAAGAAGGATGAGGAGGAAGCGGCGGCTGCTAAAGCTCGTGCTGAGGCGGCAGATCGTCATCATGATGAGCGTGATGCTGGTGGTGCTGCTGCTGATACCAGCGACGCCGCAGGCGATCACGACCTCGACATGGATGCAGCCATCGGCAACCTCAAGCAGGGCGACTGGATGGACAAGCTCGTCAGCTCTGCAGGTGAGAGCGGCATCACTCGATCGCAGCTGGAGGCTGTGCTCGATGAGGCTGGTGCTGATTTCAAACGCAAGCGCCTTTAGCCGTGCGGCTAGATGCGCAATGGGGCCAAAGGCCCCGAGGTTTTGGAATATTGTCTCTGCCAATTACTGATCGCTCTGGGCTTGACATTTTCCTCTCCTCCCCTTCTGTGCTCCAGGCTCAGCTGGTCGGTGTGCAGGAAACGCGGGTGTTGGAGGTTGAAGCTTGTGAGCATAAACTCAGGCGACAAGGGTGGAGAGCCAAACTTTCGCCAGCCCGTCACACGGCTGGAGGCGGCATATCTGCTGGCATCATGCTTGCTGTGCCAAAGCATATCGGCCTGGCGCCGATTGAGAGCTTTCCGATCGACGTGCAG